AAAAGTAAAGCTAAAAGCAACAACTCAAGCTTTGAGGGAAAAGTCGTACTGTTGACTGTAGAGAGGTGTGACATCAGTAATGTGTTTCCCTCGGACAACCGGCATCTGCAACGATGCTGCCTTCTCACAAGGAAGGAAGGAGTTAGAGAAAATTGACCCTAGAAATGTCAAACCTCACCTCATTGATTTCTGTCTCTCGTGGTGAGGCCTTTTGAAGAGCGGAACTAACACCTTAAAATATTTCCATAATAAGGCCGACTGCGACCGGCCCCAAGCAATTGTCTCTTGGGCTTTACGGCCACACCCATATGTCGCTAAGACAAACGCTAATCCAGCTTCCTTTTCGGGTTCCTCAAAGGAACATCCTTCCTACACCACTTTATAACTTTCTTACCCTTCACGAATGCCTTTATCACATACCGCACTGACGCATATGACTCAAGTACGCGATAAGTTATTTCTAGTCTCCGGAAACCACGCACTAGGCTACATGTTGGAGCTTTCAATATTCGAACTTATTTCAAATAAGACAACAGGCTTCTGGAATCTCGCGTCATCCTGTGCGTCTCCGAATCGCGCATCCACAATTGAAGTAGAGTCACATCACATCATGTCGAAATAGAGAATCAACTAGATTTACTCTTCGTGTATCCGGAATCAACTCCACCTGGGGCCCCTCTGGTACTACTACCGGGTCCCAAGCCCCGAAAAAGGAGGGGGGTTAAGCATGAGGTCGGCGACACCATTCCGTAAAAGACGAACTCACTAAAAAACGCTAATCAGAAGAAATAACTCAAACCATTTCAACTCTGTCCTGTGAGTTAGGTTTTCGTTCAAAGGAGCTAAATCTCATGATGAAAAACGAGTCCCTTCGGAAGTCACGAGGCCGATAACAACAGATTGGAAAGGATACCTCATCAAAATACCAAAGAAAGGTGATCTCAGCAAGTGTAAGAACTACGAAGGCATCACTCTTCTCTCAATACAGGAAAAGTCATTCACAGGCTTTTGTTAAACAGAATGAAGGACTCAACTTCGAAACCAACAGGCCGGATTCCGTAAGGATCAATCGTGTACCGACCGAATTGCAACATTACGGATCATTGAGGAACAATCAACTGAATGGAACTCTCCACTCTACTCCAAATTCATTGACTTCGAGAAAGCATTCGATAGCGTGCACAGTACAATACTATGAAGACTTCTTAGACAGTACGGCGTGCCTGCGAAGATAGTGAACATTATAAGGAATTCTTATCATGGATTAAACTGCGAAATCGTGCACGGAGGACAGCTGACAGACTCGCTCGAGGTGAAAACCGGTGTCAGGCAAGGTTGCTTACTTCTACCATTTCTCTTTCGCCTGGTGGTTGACTGGATTATGAAGCCGTCAGCATTTTGGGAGAAACACGGGATTCAGTGGAGTGCTGGGATGCAACTGGACGATCTGGACTTCACAAATGATCTAGCTCTTCTATCGCACACGCAACAAAATATTCAGGAGAAGACGACCAGTGCAGCAGCAGTAGGTCTCAACATACACAGGGGGAAAACAAAATCCTTAGATACAACATAGCATGCACCAGCCAAATCACATTTGATGGCGAAGCTTTGGAAGATGTATAAACCTCTGCATACCTGGACAGCATCTTTGATAAACAAACGTGGATCTGATACAGATGTAAAGGCGCGGATCGGCTTCTGAAGCACAACATTTCTACAATTGATGAACATCTGGAACTCAAAACAACTATCAACCAACACCGAAGCTAGGATTTCCGATACTTTCCAAGACCATCCTAGTGTATGGAGCGGAATTCTTAGAAAACTACCAAAGCAATCATCCAGAAGATACAAGTGATTATTAACATTTTTCTTCGCAAAATACTTCGGATCCGTTGGCCAGACACTATGAGCAACAACCTACTGTGGGAGAGAACAAACCAGATTGAAACTGAGGAAGAAATCGGGAGAAAGCGCTGGAGGTGGATATGACATATAGAGGAAAGCACTAAACAGCGTCACAAGACAAGCCCTCACTTGGAATCATCAAGAACAAAGGAAAAGTCCACGGAACACATTACGCCAAGAAATGGAAACAGAAATGAGAAGAATGAACGAAAATTGGACAGAACTAGGAAGGGAGGCCCAGGACAGAGTAGGTTGGAGAAAACTGGTCGGCGGCCCATGATCCATTGGGGAGTAATAGGCGTAGGTAAGTAATCGAAAGCCCTACTGCTGCTTCTCATGGCCCCGCTAGTGTAGATATATCACCAAGTTCTGAAGCAGAACTAGGACTCTTAAACTGGGTCCCGGTAGATAGTCGCTTATGCGCTGTCCGACTAAACAGGATAGTAAAGATAAGGACACTCGCCGTTGTCATTCGTTGTCTCTGCCTACGCTTTCACTAATGGTAGCTCAGATTAGGTAAGATATGAAATTTACAGAAATCTTTCGGAACTCCTTCAAAACGTTAAGTGCTCTAATATAGTAATAATGGCTAATGACTTTAACGCTCAAGGACGTAGATTAAGCGACACTGAAAAGCACGTGTGTGGATTTTATAGTATCGAACCTCATCGAACAGATGATGGCAACTCTGCTAAAGCCATGCTCAGACAACTTTCAATTTTCGGCATAAGGATGAACATCTATTGACATGGAGATCCCCAAAACCAACCTAACCTTGGACCCAGCGAGATCGTATCGCCAACAGCCCGCGTTAGAGAGGTTCTGTCGAAGACAGTTGCTTGTTCTGAAGCACATATTTAGATTCGAAATATGCTCTAGTCAAGCGTATATTTCGAGAGCAACTAGAAAAACAGTAGGGCAAGTGGTGCCCATCCAGGAGCAGCTTGGAACCATATTCAAAAAGCTGTGAAAACGGCGCCGATACCTGCCAGTAAGGTAAACCATGAGGTTAAGGAGAAGTAATGGATTCCATTAGCATCTACTGAATTGATAGGTGCTCGGAAACTCATCCCATCTGGCTTTGAACATGGTGAGGAGAGGAGTCAGCTTAAACTCCTGAGCAATCATCGTGAACAGTGGTGGATAAAGAAAACAAGAGGTAGAAAAGTCAGCGACAATAGGTAACAGTAGACAGCTATGCAGACGTATCAGAAATCCGACTGTTAGATAGACTAGCCCCGAGAAAGATTGAATTATTATTCATTCTCAAACCAGGAGATTGAATCGATGGGCAGAACACTTTATGGGACAGTTTAAGTGGGTATCAGCCACACTTCGGCTACCGACCATCTCTGGTCAACCTGAATGGGAAGTTGATGCAAATCCTCCGACTTTTAATGAGGTCAGTCAGTCAGCTACAAAGTAGAGCTTGGTACATACGTACATCAGTCCAGGCTGCCATACCACTTTAGCAAAGAGAAGCTATTGTCAGTGCAAATTTTACGATTGTTTGGTTAGTATAAGTATTAGGAGTAATGGAGAAGATTAGGGTCTGAAGATATTATTCAAGAACAATTCAGTGAAATAAATTTAAAATGAGAAAGATAGAGGTGTTGAGGAATTCAGAATATTACGATTTGAGAGGTTGAACAGGCTATGGAAAGCAGTACGGCCTGATGGATTAAACCTTCAAATTGTCAAGGATTGTGGTATAGTTTTAGCAGTTCGATTGACAGACATTAGGTAGAATCTGGAAACTGGACGTAGTAACATCTGACTAGCCTAAATAGCTGATTGTCGCAGTCTATAAGGAAGGACTTGGACGTGGATCCGTAGACGATAAATTTCACACTTTATCAGCTCCTAGAACACAGACACACGTTCAGACGTCCAACAAGTCGTATTCTTTGAGCTAAATGTAGCGTTTGACTATGTAGATCGTGACATTCTCCGTCAGTGTCTGTCACTGGAAGAAGTACCTAGGGAGTATATTAACCTTATATAGGCTCTTTACTCGAGCACTACTGACCGAATGAGAGCTTATGAAGAAGTCATGCGAATTGATTACCTCGAATGGTGTTCGTCAAGGTTGTCCACTTCTTCTATTTCTATTCAACTTTATCACTGAAATGCTTCTAGAGACTACACTTTCATCGTCTGGATTTTCAGTTCTACCAGGGAATGAAGTAGTTAAGAGTGCTGACCGTTTCACCTATCTTGGGAGTTTTATCAGTACTGATGACCTAGTGTCTGACGAAACCTCAGCACGGATACAGAAGGCTCGACTGGCATTTGCCAATTTGCGTCATTCATGTTGTAGTCTACCGACCAAAGGACGAGTCTATGGCACAGCACTTCACTCCGTTCCACTTTAAAGGTGTGATACATGGTCAGTAAAAGCAGACTATTAGTATTTGATCATAGGTGTCTTTGATGCATTTCTCGTATATCCTGAGACCACGGAGAAAGCAATGCTGCCTTGAGGAAGCGGGTACTAGGTAAGGATGGCAAATCAATTGATAAAGTAATTAAACTACATTAGTTGAGGTGTGTTACGTATGCCCAACTGCCTGAACGAGCGATGCTGTCTGCCGAAGAAGTAGGCTGGAGGGAACATGACAAAGAACCATGAAATAATTGACAAGTGGTCTGAGCCATGTTAATAGGTGTAGATGACCTTCGCTGGGGTCCGCGAGAAGATAGTAACAGGTGGTTAGGGACTGTGAAGAACACGGCTCAAAATAGTTGGGTATGGCAAAGAAGCATCCATTCTGTTTTCCCTCAAACTCAAAAACTTTTTAGTTCATGACCATTTTTCTCTTTTTACATTCATTTCACCATATTATCCTTCTTGAATATCTTCGAACCCTAATCTCCATTACGGCTAATACTCATACTCATTACCAACTGAGATATGAACTGACAAATCCATCTCTGTGCTTATGTGGTAATGCGACCTGAACTGATGTAGGTACGTACCAAGTTCTACGTTGTAACTGACTGACTATTTTCCCGGAATCCTCTAACATGAATATGAATAAACCACATCACTTATTGAAAAATTTGTAGTAGCGTTATTTATGACTTACTTTCCAAGAGTCAGTTTTTTGTTGAGAATCAGGAACTGGTCTTTTTTGGAGTTCTTGAGTTCGAGGAGGGTTGTTGATAGATTCATCTCTTCGTTCTCTTTGTAATTTGCGGGACTAAATACTATATCTTAAGTGAAATAACTTACTCGAAGCGAACAGCGCAGTTGTTCTCTGATTTTTAAATCGCATTCTTGGAAAGTAAGAGTGAATTCGTCAGTTATTTTGGAAATTTCTTCAAAAGTCAGCGTGGGAGAAAAAATATGGTACCACTCCCCATTTGACGACTGGATATCTGTACCATTCCACTTCGCAGCAATATAGAGACTGGCAGCAGCTATTGCTTCTGTAGAATGTCGTAATACTAAAGTAGTAAGATGTAGTATATTGGTGCAGATATAGTAGCTGGTGTGAGCAATCTCCTTCGGGAACTTGTTTGCACGAATTGCCTTAATAAGCAGTACGTGGGGTTGTTTAACTTCAAGAGTGTGAAACCCAATAACCATAAGAATAGTAGCCTCTAAGGCATGAACATTCTGAACGAGTCTCTTGAATGCATCAGACCCTTCATCAGGTGCAGGTCTCTTTAGGATATCATAAGCAGCTTTAATTAGGAACGAAAGTTTCCTGGAAAACTCCTCTGTTTTACATGCACAGTAAAAAGCAGCTATCGCAACTAAGATTGGTTTGATAGTTTCTGGGGAAAAAACCTCGTAGAAGTAGTGCATATAGTATATGCCTGCATTTATGACCACCTGTGTTCTGTACGAAATAGATAGGTATACACATCACTTCAGTGAGAACTCACGTTTGTAGCCTCGATCCGATTTCCTGAATCAAACAAGCACACTGTTGACGACGGGCTAAATGGAGACTACGTTCTACCTTGCATTGCTCCATCACCGATAAACGCGCCAGAAGGAAGATGGCCTTGATAACAAACCTCAAACCTTGTTGATATGAGTTAGGCGAATGCTCGGTTCTTGGGGTCTGTTTCTTTTCTATAGGAGATGGTTCTTAGATCGTTCTTGCCATAACCCTTGGGAAAATGAAAGCCAAAAGAAACTGATAATCCCCAATATCCAATATCTTTTTCACGAGCTAGTTTAAACCAATTCCAATATCCAATATCTTTTTATCGAGCTAGTGTGAACCAATTTGATTTCTTCGCGCTCGATTCTTGTTCTTTCGGTACGGTTCCAGGTGTTCGGTAGTGTCCAATGAATGGGGATCCAGCCACTCGACTGTCTAATTCTAGTCAGTTGGCAGTGGGTTGTGAGTTTCTATGTCTCGGGATTTGAATGAGCACATTTGTTTCAGAGCTGTAGGGTTTCTGGATACCAGCAGCTATCATATTACCTGACCGGAGATCAGTTAGTTGCAATGTGGAGAGTAATAAGGATAATAAGGATAAAATTATAGTGCTAATATGAATAAAATTTCAGAACTAAGTAATATATAGATTATTTAGTTTATTAATTGATAGTGAATATTGTGAGAGAGGATCGAAGTGTAAGCAACTGAGAGGAAACAGAAATAATAGGCCAGATAGATTAAATAAGTGATCTGAGCAGATGGCAATGATAAAAACTAGCAGGTCACAAGATATGCATCATGAACAGCTCGTCCATGAGGGAGATGATAGTCCGTATGTGAGTACGTGATTATCAAGTCTCTTCTTAAAGCAGTCCACTGAGGGGCTGCGGTCACCTTGGCCGGGACAGCATTCCAAGTTGGGACGACTCGCAATCAGAAAAAGTGTGCACGAATCTGAGTATTCGCTCTTCGATGTGCAATCTTTCGAGGATCGCCTCGAGGGGAGTGGTGGTGATGCATCGGTAAGATGCTCACATTGGGATGGTTTGGCGTGTTTAATATGGTGTACGCCATAATCAGACCGCTTCTGATTCTCCTGTAGCTCAGTGGAAATAATCCCATGAGCTATAGTCTATCGTCGTAGGGTTTATTTTTCAACCCTATCACCCATTTGGTTGCTCGTCTCTGCACTCTATCCAAGAGATTAATGTATCTTTTAATCAGAGGGGTGCAATGACATTGTGAACTTCAAAGTGTTGGCGCGTGTACGTCTTAAATAGGGTTAAAAATAATTTCGTGGTGATAGCGCCAAGTTGTCTTTGCATAAAGTGAAGAGTCGCATTTGACTTGGCTGCATCCCCTACATAATTTGGACTCATGTGCAGGCTTTCTGTGGTTATTAAACCGAGATCGCGCTCTGAGGAAACATTAGGGAGCGGACTTTCATTGAGGGTATGGATCGTTTGCGTCGTGTGAGGCAGGAGACGCATGACGTGACACATTGGTTGGTTAAGTTTTAAACCGTTTTTCACTGCGCATTTCTCAATGGATGTAAGGTCCTTTTGAAGCTCAGTCGAATCCTCTTCGCTTCTAATGGACCTCCAGATCTTCGCATCGTCTGCGTAGATCAATGCCGGTGAGCTAACTAAACCTAACAGGTCGTTATTAAATATCAGGAAGAGAAGTGGGCCTAGGATGGTCCCCTGTGAAACCCCCTATGTGGATACTCGCCAGCTCGCGTGCACTCTGTTTAACTTGGCGCGAAACTTTCTATTCTCAAGGTAGTTTCTGAGCCAAGATAGGAGTGGGTCAGTGAAGCCCATTTCCACAACCTTTTCGATTAGGCTTGTGTGCGGTACTGTGTCAAAGGCTTTTGAAATGTTGAGAAATGTAACGTGCACCGGTATTTTACGGTCCAAACAGGATGTCTAACTGTCCCATGCGATGAGAAGATTAGATGCACACGACCTGCCTTTCCGAAACCCCCTGTTGAGCTTCATGGAGTATTTTATTCTTATCCATGTACTCCCTCATTTGTTCGTCCACTAGCCCTTCCATAACCTTTGATAATATTGGTAGTAGTGCGACTGGTCTGTAACAGGCTGGGTCCTTTCTATCTCCTCCATTGAAGATTGGAGAGAGAGTAGCTTGTTTCCATTCAGCTGGGAATTGGTGTGACTCCAGTGAATGCCTGAACAGGTTGCATATCGGTGAACAGAGGACTTCTGCACGTCGTTTCAAGACTATGGGGCGAATTTTGTCACAACCTGGTGACTTATCTGGGCGTAGGGACTTTAGTTTCCTTAGTTCTAAGTCAGGAGTGATACGGATGTTCCCTAAGCCGTCAGCTGGCATTGGATTGGCGTAATACTCTGAACATGTAAGCGCCTGGTTTAACTGATCAGCAAAAGTCGTGTTGAAGATCCCAGCCATCTCTAGGTTGGTGAGGTCTTCCCCGTTTGGCCCTTTTAGAGAACACAACCCTAGATTAGTAGGCTTTCTCTTCGACATGAACCTAAACAGATTTTTCGGGTTTGCCTCTATTTTGGCGGCTAGCTTCGTCTGAAATTGTCTCCTGTCGCTTCGAACTTTAGTACTGCATCTGTTTCTCAATGCCAAGTAAGAACTGCGATCGGAATCCTTCAAAGAGACCTTCCACTTCACCTGCAGCAAGCGTTCAGTGCCGCGCCTAACCCAGGTTCTTCTATTCCGCATTTTTGGTGTGACTGAGGTACATTGTCTACGACAGCGTTTTGGATAATATCTCTCATTGATTTTCAATGATCATCTACTGTCAGCCTCCGCCACTCCCGTGGCCATGGGGCATGTAGTAAGACCTCTCTCATGCGCATGTATTTTACCCTATTGTAGCAAAGGTAGGACCCCTTATCGTCCCGTGTGAGTGTTTCGTTTATGACCATGTTACACAAGACTGTGCCATGGTCACTACTACCTATTGGTGCGCGGACGTGAACATCCTCAACCAGAAGCTGGTCATTAGTTAACAGATAATCCAGGTTTGAGGACTTCCCTTCCTTAGTCCATCTAGTGGCACTGCATACGTGCTCAGTCAGCCCAGAGCTTCTAATGGCTGTACCAAGTTGTCTCTGGAACCAACCAGTGGGAGTTATACTGTGATTGCTGAGATTTAAAGCTCGGGTATTGAAATCTCCAGTTTACTTCAATCAGTTTGCTTTTCTGGGCCTTAGTACCCAAAGAAGGTCGGTGGATCCCTCCAATCAAGTATTTCGTGCCATTTGTGTGGAAACAACACCAACATGATTCTGTCACCTCAGTTAGTTGGGTGTCATATAGTCGCTCTGTTTTTAAGTGGCTATTTTTATATATAGCCACTCCAGTGTGGAGTTCCCTATCGCTTCGGAAGAGTGACATGCCTGGCAAGCTCACTTCTACCTCTGCAATGTCAGGGGATAGCCATGTTTCAGTTAGGGTTATGATCTTCAGATCCAGCTGAGAACATATATTCCTGATTTCTAACAGCTTACCCCTTAGTCCTCTTACGTTATTATAGAGGCACTTGGTGGTTTGTCTCAGCACCTGGTGCACTTCTGCAGCAGCAGAAGTTGTCGGATTTGCAGACAAGTTATTCAAAGCGAATCGGCCAGTTTTGTGGGAACTGGTCTCTGCGAGTTTTTTGCTTGCGCGGTTGGTTCAATCACGTCTTGTGCCAGGGGTTGTTGACCGTGGTTACCTATCAGTTTTGTGCGTTCATTTTGGCCTCCCTGCTGTTGTCTCATAGATCTAGGTCGGCTTTCGCAACCCCTGATGTGGCTAGACAGATCGTTCCTCGAATTGTACCAAGCTTGGAGTGTTTCAGTCAGGTCTTCCCGGTTCCTAAATGTCACAGCCATCAGGCTTGGTGACTTGATGGACGTAAGGTGTGACGGGCGGGGCAACCTAGAAATACAAACAGCCATCGTGGTGTGGAGGGACAGGCTACGCGATAGCCATCGCCACTGTTGCACATCGTGCTCGTGAGCTTCGTCCGGGTTACCGCTGGTGAGTTCGGGTATACAGTGAACTACCATGGTGGTCTGTTCTTGAGTGCCTGGCGCAGTTCTGGCTGCCGCACGTACCGACCACGGCTTGTCATGCCTGATGTGAATCGGCGAGGAAAATTTGACCGATGGTCTTTGGGATGAAAGGATGATGTCTTCAGAAAGTGGTGCCGAGTCATGAGTTACCCTCATTGGAGGGGGTTTTCCTTTCGAGACATTTTGGCCTTTGAAAAGGCGGCATATTTTTGCTGGGACGTTGCACATTCTGAAGGTTGTGCAGTGTTTACCCCACTGCTCTTTGTCGAAGGCAGCCCTACCTTCTAGCAAGCTTCTTCCGATACTGGGACATTAAATAAAATAAGTGAGTTTGATCTGTCGTCCCTGTTCTTGGGCGGTAGCCGCCTGTGAGTTGGGGTGTTGCTATTTCCCTTCTTCACGTTCACCCACTGTTTTGAATTGCCAGCAGGTGCTGGGGGTTAACAACAACCAGCAGTTTTGTTGGTGTCTTATTCAGGGTTGTGGTAGCCTTGGTCACTTGTTTTACTGGTTTAGTGTCAGGCGATTTTGGTTTGGTCGTTTGGACTTTAGGGCTGATTTTGGGTGAGACCTGTGGCTTTGTCAGTGCCTCAGAAACTCTACACCGAGGGCAAATATACTAGAACCATGGACAGGGGTGACTCAGCATGAATCCGTAGTATTCTTTAAGTACTGTAGTGTCGCAGTGACAATGTACCCATGTACTACAGAAGTTGCACTCGAAAGGACGGTCGCTGATTTCGACCGATAATCAGCAGGCAAAACAGTCATCCTTATGCTCTTTCTGGGCATTGGACTGTGTCGACTGATTCTTGTAGCGTCTTTTTCTCCTATTTTTAACTACCTTACTGGTCATTTTAAGAATAGGAGTGGTGTCGTGCTTCCTCTGTGGTGTTTGCGTTGAGTGATCTAAAGTATGGACACTGAGAGGCGTACTATCAACTGACTGTTTGGGTTTTT